AAAAATGACCCAAAACTCTGCATTTATTTGGTCTCATTTCCTCTCAAAAACAACATCTCCAATTTAGCTGATTGCTAAAGCCATCATTTTAAAATCATCCCAGGAAACAAAAGGGACTGCAAAAGACACAGAGAGCATTCCTACACCCACCAAATCATTAGGAATTGGAACCCGATTCCCTCATCTCCCTCCTTGTTTTTCTTGGTTGGCAAACCTGATGATCCCCACTGGCTATTTTTGGGCTGCTTTTCTTCCACAGCTCCTTTCTCCCGGCTGAAACCTCCCCGCATATTCAGGGCTTATCTGGAGGGAAGCCCCTCAGAGGTATTTCCTCTCGTGGCAATTCTGTGGGATGAAGAAGTAAAAAAAGCACGTCAAGAGCTCCTTCTCAACCCTTCCCTCGCAAACACCCTCCCAGTTTGTCCTCGGCAGCTCCATCCCCCTGGTACCCGCACGCGATGCTTCGGCTCCACTGGGAAAGGGACAGCAAGGGCAGGAGCAAGCTCAGTGCTGGGCAGGGGCTCCCTGGGGAACGGCACTTCAGTGCTTTAGTCCGTGGCCTTTCCTGCTGCCCTCCCTCCTGGAGGCAGAGGATGACCCGTCCATTCCTCTCTCCCTTGTTTCTCCCACACTCGCAGACCCAGGTCCTGCTCTTTTGGCCCCACTTTTCTTACCAGACCTGGCATCATTTTCCAGAGTCCCCAGGAAACTTCTGCACTTGACCCATTGCTGAGTGCAGGCACTTCCCTCTGTCTCTGGAAGTGCCTGCACAAGTTGTCCTTGTCCCAGCTCTGCCAAACTGACACACACTGACACAGGAGAAATAACAGGTCTTCCTTGCACAATTCCTGACCCTAACCCTTGCCTGTTCTGCCCAGAGCTGAGGGAGATCTGAAGGAATATTAATAAACCACCTTTGTTAAGAGCAGTCATCAGCCTGGTCCTTCAGGCTTTGCAGGAGTTTGTAGGGAACAGACCCAAATTCCAGTCCTACCTCTACATTTCTAACAGCTTTCCTCGGAGAGATTCTGGACAGTAACACATACTACAGAAAGAAAAGAACTACACAAGGAGTAACAGAAGGTTTGGCATGAAGAACAGAAGTTCCTGTTCTCCCTTATCAGGCTGGGACTGTAGGACCCAGTCTTTGCCATCAAGAGACCAAAGTGTTTTCATTAAGACTTAAACCTCTCTCCCATGGGTGTTTCTCAGAGAACTGGGCCAGCACTGAGCTACTCCCATGTGCCTGCAGTGCTTTGGGGAGGGGCAAGACAAACTCCCACTTCTGCTTGGAAGAGAATGAAAAGTCATTCCCCTTCTCTCTCTAACCCAGCACCAAAGCAGTCATGTAGGACAACACCGGACTATGCATGGAAGGCCTGATTCAACTGGGAAAGAAAAAAACCCTAAACAAAGAAACAAAACCACTCCGAATTTCAAGGCAAAAATACACTGCTTCCTGAACAGGAGCACACAAAACACATTGAAGCCAAAGAGAAAACGACAAACCAGAAAAAAAAAAAAGAACCAAAAGAAGTGCTCTGCCTGCCTTGATACGCTCTCTGCTTGATCATTCCAAAGGAAATTCTCCACAGATCAGAAGCAATTACCAATCATTTGTCCTCTATGGAAAATTAATGACTTGGGTTTCTGTTGAGGGGCTGGACATGTCCAATGAGGGTTCAGGGTCTGGTGGGTTGCTTATGGCAGATCCTGACTGGCCCAGGCCAAACCCAACCACCCCCACCACTGCTCCATCCCACATGAAGAATATTGATACTGTATAGAAATACTCCCCTTCCCTGCTGCTCCATCCTTCCTTACACATCCATGGAGCAGGTTTTCTCCACCATTTGTTCCCAGTAACAGCTCTCCAGACTGAATCCCAGCTCCCCCAGACACAAACTAAACACATAAAAACGTAAGTTCCATCAGCACCTGGAATTCCGAGCTCTCTGTTCCCTGGAATCCTCATCCCAACACTCACAGCAATCTCACCTCAGCCCACAGGCTCTCTGTCCTCACAGGGAAACACAGCCTGCTCTGGCACCGCATTTCCTCTCATTCCTGGTCTCCTGCAAACCCCCAGGGAAATCCAATCCCTCAGATCCTGCATCCCTGGACACGAGGGGAACTAAAGTTTGACCCGGATCTCAGCGCCCTGGACAAGTGTGTTCCCAGGAGCACAGGCCCATCCATCCCTCCTTTCCCCCCAGGGAGTCCCAAATCCTCCCCCAGCTCCCCTGTGCCTGTCCCCCGGCCCAGCCCAGCTCCAGGCTCTCCCCCAGCGCTGTGTCAGCTCCAGCCCTGGCAGAGCTGCAAACATACCCCCAAGCTCGGCTCCCCGGGCTCTTGGCTTTCACCCTTCTCTTCTGATTACTCACTACAGGCGTTTCTTCTCTGAAACTTGCTCTTATCCCCCCCTCACCACCACCCCCCGCCCCCGGCCGGTCGCCCCCACTGCCCTGCCCAGCGGCCCCGAGCGCTTCAGGCGCCGGCCCGGCCAACGCCTCGCTCTGCGCAGGCGCCGCTTCCCAGCCCGCCCCGACCGCCGGACCCTGCCTCGCAGTCGCCACCTGGCGGACACGGCCGGGAGCGGCACTGCAGCCGCCCCCCTCCCCCTTGCGAGACCCGCGGCGCCTTTCGCGAGGACGGGTCTTTCTTCCCTAAAACCTGCTCTTACCTAGGAAAAGCTGAGCAATTCACAGAGTTGCTGTTTGTAGCCCACCTTCCCAAAGGATTTCTCTCTCCCGGCGGCAGCGGCGGCGGCAGCAGCAGCAGCAGCAGCAGCAGCAGCAGCAGCAGCAGCAGCAGCAGCAGCAGCAACGCTCCCCTGGAAGCCCTGACTGAGGCTGGGAATTGACACACAACAAGCCAAGAGCATTAAGTCGGCCCCAAAACACTCCACAACCAACCAATTTAAAGTCACCTTTGTCTCAGCTCCCCACGCAAGCAGAGGCTTTGGGATTCCAAGGCAAACCCTGAGAGGCCCAGAGAGCAGCAGCTCCTCAGCCCCACCACGGCCTCCCTCGGCGTCCCCCAGCCGGGAACCGGGCTACCCAGCCCCTGCTGTGCAGCACAGCACGCGGGGGGATGACTTTTGGGACCCCTCCCTGGCCGCCGCAGAGCAATGCAGGCATTGGGGCCAAGTCCTGCCCGGCCCCCGGGCACTGCAGACAGTTCAGCCCCAGCAGTGGGCTTTTCTGCCCTTGCTTCCTCTCTCATTTGGAAGCAGATGGTGAGGAACAAGCCCCACGCAGACGGCGCAGGGGCAGCCCCGGGCACAATCAGCACCGAGCAGCAAGGTCTGGGCTCGCCAGAGGCCTGGGCCTTCCTAGTCCAGGCTGTGGGCTTCCTTTGCTTTCTTCTGCTGCAATTCTCCTGCCCCGGCAAGTGTTAAAAGACAGACTACCCAGTGAGACGTGCCCCAAAACAGCAATCAGTTCCAAGGCCAGAAAATCTCAGGGCCACACTCAGAAACCCTTCTGCGAGGCCCCCAGAGAAGTCAAGGGGAGCTGGGATTCCCTGGAGTCCCAGGGAACCGAGGGGAAGGTGGGAAGGGGGCAGAGAGCAAACCCCCCCAGCTGCTTCTCACTGCAGCCCCTACGGCAATTGCAGCTGCCCTGGGATTTCATGCCCTCTGTGTCTCTTCCATTGGGGAAAAGTACTGGGATGTACTGGGAGGGACTGGGGGCAGGGGGAAGGGACGGGTATGGGACTGGGGAGACTGGAGAAGGACTGGGGACACTTGGGGGATTTGGGCTGGGAGTGGGGTATGAGAAATAAATAATCTGGTTCTATTATAAGTAAAATGAATTTAGTGGAAAACAGAAGGTGGTGAGATTTTTCTTTCATTTAATTCCAAGGTTTTTTTAGGCGCCTTGTGGAGACTGTAAGGTGAAAGGCTCATCTGGGCCTGACGCCAGGAAAACGTCACGGTGGGGATAGGGAAAATTCGTCATCATGGCTAGGCTTCGCGAACGAAGATTTGGGAAGGGCTCTACCCACGTTTGTTGCAGGCGCGTTGGTGGCTAAAAAGGCCAGTACAAGATAGGCGTGTCCGGTTGCAAAAGGCACAGCAGAAAGACTCCTTAGATGGTAAATTCTGCAAGGCACGATTCTTTCTGCGCTGTCTTTTCTCCTCAAGGGTGATCCTGCTGCGTTCGCAAAGGCATCAGCAGCATTATAGATGGTGTGTCTCAAGGCCTCCCAATTGGAGGCCAGAGTAGACCAGTTATGATGATCAGTATGGCCAAGGCTGAGATGTTGTTTCAGGGAGTCCTTGTATCTTCTCTTTGGGGCTCCTCTCTTGCAGCAGCAAGTTCACCATAGAGCAAGATCTTAGGGAGGCAGTGGTCCTTCATCCTGGAGATGTGCCCTGCCCAACGCAGCTGTGTTCTCAGTAACATGGCCTCAATACTTGTGACTGCTGCTTGTTCTAGAACAGATGGATTGGTCACATGACCAGTGGATGTTTAGGATTGTGCGGAGACAGCATTGATGGAAGCGTTCGAGGAGTCGCAGGTGGTGGTGGTAGATGACCTATGATTCAGATCCATATAAGAGAGCAGACAGCACTATAGCTCTGTAAACACTGATCTTTGTACTTTTCTTCAGGTGTTTATTTCGCCAAACTCTTTTATGAAGCTTTCCAAAGGCACTATATGCCTTTGTGTGCTGGTTTAAAAGTTAACCAGCAGGGGAAACCAACCCAACTCAAAAGAGAGATTACAAATCAGAATAACAATTTAATAAAATAATACAATAAGTACAACCACACAGACAAGCAACCGGCCCTAACCCACAAAGCCCAAATGTACAACCCAGCACCCCAGGGCACAAACAAAACGGTGCTCCCTGGGCCCCCCCCCTGAGTCCAAAGCAAAGGGAGAGGGGAAAAACCTGCTGGTGGGAGAGCTGCTGCAGTCCGGCCAAAGTGGTGATTGCAGTTCAGTTGGGGGTGGTGGTCTCAGTCCGGCTGAGAGCGGTGAGCTGCAGTCCTCCTCTGGATCCCACAAGAGGTGGAAAGGTTCTGAAACTCCAGGTTTATATATTCTCCAGCTCAGGCAGCAATGCTTAGCCCCTCTCTCAGAGCGGGGAATTCCATAAAAGGATGCTCAATCCTTCCCTCAGAGTGGGGAATTCCATAAAAGGGTGTGAGGGTGCTCAGTCAGGGAATTCCACAAAAGGGCATGAGGACAGGAGCATGGGCCGGGGGGGGGCACCTCACAGGCCTCTACTGACAACAGTTTCTGGGAAATGGCATGGAGGGCTATAGAATAC